TCTGTCTCAGATAAATAAATAAAATCTTTAAAAAAATAAAAAAATAATAAAAAAAAGAGTTATTACTAACATTTATAACAGTGCAATGAAGACAATTATTAAAACCATGAGAGGTGCCCTGAACCAGTGTTAATTGCAATAATTACTCATTTATTGGGGAATTAGAAGATGAGTCGAGGTTTGTAAATCAGGGAGGAATGAGAAAGGTAACGATTCGTGAAAATGTGTGAACTTGGAAGTTCTGGAGATCTGCCTGACAGCGGTCAGAGAATTTCAAAACCGTTGTTTATCCGAGGATACTCCCCCTCAGGGATAGCTGCCGATATATCACATCTCCTAAAAGTGCAAAAAGAAAGAAAAAAAGAAAAATAGATGGTTACCTTGAACCCTAGGATCTTTCTATCCATGCTAAAGTGACAGTAAACCGTGGAGCATACGGGGCGCGCCGAGGGTCAGGGGCGTTGTGCATCACCCACCCCCTCTGCCTTCCGCCAGTACCAGCCCAGTGCCCACATCGGGGCGGGCGATCACCGACGTCGTGGTGACTGTGATTTCTGTGAGTCGTGCCGTCACGAACGGGCACCGAGTCGGGGGGGTTCCATCCAGCTAACCACTGGCTTGGCCGCCACTCGTCTTAGGTAAGGCCAGTGCAAGATGCGGTTTGTACACTTGCAGGTGTGAGTGTGTGTGTGTGGGTATTTATTTGTGTGCCTGTGTCCCAGTGGATCCAACTTGGTGCTAAATAAATAGTTAAAAGGGGCGCCTGGGTGGTTCAGTCCTTAAGCGTTTGCCTTCGGCTCAGGTCATGATCCCAGGGTCCTGGGATCGAGCCCCGCATCGGGCTCCCTGCTCCGCGGGAAGCCTGCTTCTCCCTCTCCCATTCCCCCTGCTTGTGCTCCCTCTCTCGCTGTGTCTCTCTCTGCCAAATAAATAAATAAAATCTTTAATAAAATAAATAAATAAATAAATAAATATGTTAAAAATTGGAAATCTGTGTAAACTTGTGGTTTGTCGTTAAATTTCCCATTGGAAACCACACACTAGAAAAGCTTCATGTTGCAAAATCTTGTGGATGCTTCGTTGTTTGTGGATGTGAAGGTTGTGGCCTCGGCCCACCCTGGCTCGCAAAGCTAAGAGGATGGATCCAGAACCAGAGACAGGGAGAATGCAGAAATATGCCAAATAGCTCCTCACCTCAGCGTCCTTAATCCAACTTCCCCCATGTCCACCAGACCCTAGGGGCTGCGGGATTGCCCTTGACCAGCTCAAGAAGCAACAAACCTGGGCCTGTGTAGGATGGAGCCCTGGATCCTAATCTCCCTTGCACATCATAGGGAAAGGGTCCTGCGTGCATGAGAACCAGCCCCAGAGAAGGGCTGAATGTCCAGTGTGTCCTGACGCCTCTGCCTGAACCAGCGTGTCTGCCCAGAAGTCAACACGCTCCACTGGGCAGGGCCACCAGACGTTCCTGCACCGATTTCTCTTGTAAGGGAGATGTGTGATGAGGCAAGACCACGAGCCTTCATCAGGGTATCTCTGGCTGAAAACAAAGACGGAGGTTTCAGATAGAATATTTTAAAACTTAATCATCCCCGGCTTTCAAAATCAGAAGCTCGTTCAAGTGAGCAAAAATTCATACCAAAAGGAGAAGAGCCAACACGTCCGAATTAATTCAGTTCTGGCCAACTGAGGCTCCCTGATGTCGGGTCATAGGAAACGTGATGCAGAAGGAAGGGGTCTGTAAGGCAAGTGATTTCCACACATGACCTCAGGTTTACCTGGAGCAGTCCAAGCACAGACTTCAGGGCCCCCACCTGAGGGGCCTCAGTCTCCCTCACTTCACAGTGGGGCGGGGGAGGGAATAACAGTACTTACCTCAGGGGGCTGTTGGGAGAATGATGTCTTTACACCTATGTTCCTGGCACTTGGTGGGTAGAGCTGTGTCCCCCAGATACCCTCATGTCCTAACCCCTGGGTCCTGTGCTTATGACCTTATTTGAAAGTAGGGTCTTTGCAGGTGTGACCAAGTGAAGTGAGGGGGGATTGGATTAGGGTCTGGAGTCTTTAGGAAAGAGGGCAATGTAGACACACATGGCGGGAAGGTCATGTAGAGACAAGGTGGAGACTGGAGGGAACGCCAGGGATTGGCAGCAACAGCAGACGCTAGGATAGGGGCATGGGATGGATGGATTCTCCCTCGGAGGTTCCAGAAGGAGCCAGCCCCGCCGACCTTTATCTCAGATCCCGTGGGCAGGGCGGCGGCAGCGGGGGGGGTTAGCTGGTGCCTGTGTTCCAGGAACCCATGGTGTCCCCCGCAACTTCCTCCCGAAAAGAGTTTCATAGTAAACAAGAGCGAAATGGGAGCTCTGCAATATGCACTGAGCGTTCACATCCAGGGTTGCTGAGGGGATCGGTTCGAGGCCAGAGGCTTCACCATTTGAGTTGCAAAATGAATAATGTCTCATAATCAACCAATTTAGCAAGAAGTTGGAATGAATAGCCGCTGGGTGAGGTTTCCTGTTGTGAGGGCCCAGGTAGGCTGATGAAGTCCCCTGTGGGGATTGTCATGCTGGCGTCCGTGACCTCCACCATAGAGAAGAGCCGGCAGAAGCCCAGCCTGGCCACTGGGCCCTCAGTGCTGCCGGGAGCTCCTTGCTGCCCCGGGCTACTCCGTCCAGACCCTCCCGAGTTGGTCCCCACCAGCCCCTGGGCACGGGCCCAGCCCCTCCACCCCAGTGCGGGCCTCCTAGCCATCCCCGGGATGGGCTCTTTCCCCCCTGGGAATGCTCAGCTCCACTCTCCACTCCAGATCACTGTGGGCGGGGGGCAGGGGAGGGCTGTTTGCAGGGTTCATGGTCTGACTCAAAGCCCCCTTCTATGAAGCTGCAGGTCATTGCTCCCCCATTCCTCCTAGCCTTGATGGACAGGTATGATATCTACATACTTGACTGACTGATCGATCGAATGATTTTTTGATCCAAATATATATATATATATGTTCAGTGCCTCCCATGAGCTGAGCCAGGAGAAGCAAGTCTCCTGACGTAAGAAGAACTTACGTCTGGGGTAAGAGACAATGGACGTGGAAGCAGGTGCCCCGAGCAGGTGAGAGAGTGCTGAGCTCGGGCTGCCATAACAGAATGCCACAGACCGGGGCGCATACACACGGACATTCACTTCTCTCAGTTCCCAGTGGAGGCTGGGCAGCTCGAGATCAAAGTGCCAGAAAATTCGGTTCGCGGTGAGAGCCTCCTCCCAGGTTTGCAAAGGGCCACCTTCCCACTGGGTCCTCACATTCCTGAGTGTGTGTGCACGGAGGGAGGGAGACTCTCCTTCTTCCTCTTAGAAGGCCACCAACCCTACGCGATTAGGAGCCCACCCTCATGACTGCATTTAGACTTACTTACCTCCTAAAAGCCCCATCTCCAGATACAGTCACACCGGGCGGTAGGGCTTTGACATACAAATTTGGGGGGAATGCATTTCAGTCCACAGCCAGCTCTATGCAGGAGAACACAGCTGGGATGGGGTGGGGGGGCGGTGCGGGGGGGAGATGACAGCAGCGGCCATTTCTGCTTTGCAGGTCAGAGGCTCTTTGAAGAGCTGACATGGGAGCAGAGGCCTAGCTGATGGGAGGGAGGCAGCCAGGTAAAGAATGGGGGCAGGGTAGTACAGTTGGAGGGAAAGCCTGTGCAAAGGCCCTGGGGCAGGAACCGCAGGGAGGCCGGTGTCCCAGGAGGTGAATGAGTGAGTAGGATAGGAGGGAGGTAGGGGATTAGGTCAGAGAGGTCACCAAGCCTAAAATTCATCAAGCCTGGGTTTGATTCTGCAGGTGACAGAGGCTGTGTCGGGGACACCATCCTCAGACTAGGCAGAGAGGGTGGGGTGGAAGCAGGGGGGCCAGATGGGTGGCCAAACGGTCTAAGAAAGAGAGGACCGGTCTTGGCTGGGGCAGGAGGTGGTGAGACCCAGATCCAGGATAGAGTGGGGATAGAGTAGGGCTGCTACAGCTCCTACCACAGTTAGAGCAGAACCCCTGGGCATCTGGCCTAGGCCCTGGGGTCTGCGGGTGGTTCTCAAGTGCAGCCTGGTGGATACCTGCTTCCTGCTTCCATCCACCCAAACCTGCGATTCTCTGTGCGCAAACGCCTATTTAAATATACTCCTCTCCTACCTATAGCCCAGGCCTTGTTTGTACCTGCTCTTTTACAATTTACAAAACCCTTTCACTAACCTGAGGTCTCCATAGTCCTGTCTCTGGATATTTCAGTTTCTGCAATGTTGAATCCAGTTAGAAGGATTATTGATTATTTATTATCTGTGTCCCTATGTTGGGACAAGCATTTGCTGAAGTGAGTCATATCATCATCCCGGTGATACTGTGAGCAAAAGACTGCCTGACCCCGAGCTGTGGCTGCGTGTTTGTGTCCTCCACCCCGTTCACGGGTAGAAGCCCTAACCCCGGATGTGGCTGTAACTGGAGGGGGCCTTTAAGGAGGTCATTAAGGTTAAATGAGGTCATGAGTCTGGGGCCCTGATACCACAGGACTGGTGCCCTCATAAGGAGAGAGAGAGACACCAGAGAGCGCTCACTCGCTCCCTTCCTCCCTCCTTCCCTCTCCCCTCCCCCCTCCTTCTCTCCCTCCTCCTTTCTCTTCCCCTCCTTCCCTCCCTCTCTCTCCCCTCTATCTCCCTGCACACACAGAGGAAAGGTCACGTGAGGACACAGTGAGAAGGTGTTGTCTACAGCCAGGAAGAGAGGCCTTGCCAGAAATCCACACTGAGGGGACCTCTGGCCTCTAGAACTGAGAGAAGATAAAGTGCTGTTGTTTGAGCCCCCATCTGTGATACTTTGCTGGGGCAGCCCAAGCTGATGGCTCCACCCAATTTTGGATAGGGAAACTGAGGCACAGAGCACAGGCGGTCAGAGGACTCCTCCAAGGGTGTTCTGACTTCTCCGATATGAGAGAAGCCCTTCCAGGCGCCCCCACCCAGGGGTAGCTTCCTGGGCCCCGCCCCCCCCAATGCTGGAGCCACCCTCCCAGTGCCAGGCAGCAGGCCACCCTCGGCGGCCTCTCTTACAGCCCTGGTCCCCCATTCAATGCTTGTTGGACTGGCCGTCCCAGGAGTAACCAGGCTTCCCCCTCCCCTTCTCTGAGCCCCACAGCAGTTGGGTTTGCTTTCCCTGCCTTGTGCCCCCCGTCGTCATCTGGGTGCATGTCTGTCTGTCTGTTCCAGCACAGAAAGCTCCCGGGCGTCAAGGATGGCATCCCGCCCACGTCTGTCAGGAGCTCAGCCCAGGTCCCCGCTGCTGAGGACCCTCTCAACCCTGTAGGAGGGGCTGGGGCGAGAGGAGGGTGGAGGGGCACTAGGTGTGGGCATGTTTGCAGCTCTGGGCGCAGAACTAGCACCTGGCAGTTATAAATAGAGGCTGAGGGGTAAAAATATACCTGAGAAGAACACGAGGCCCACGGAATATAAGCAGTTTATTTTCCCTTGAGGGGGTGACCAAGGGTGACGGACCCAAACTGCGTCACCGGGCCACCTGGACGTGTGAGCCACATTCGGTTGGAGCGATCTACCCCGGGCCCCAGCCACACCGCGCCCACGCCAGACCTTCTCTGCTCCGTGGCCTTCCACGGGGGCTCGTCAAGTCGTTCGGGCAGGTGCACTAAGCAGGTGTCCCAGGTATACAGCAGGCATTCAATAAATGCTGGTCCGGACTTGACCGCAGGGAGCTCTCTGGGGAGAAGCACGGCGGGGAGTGTGGAGCCTGCCCTCTCTGTCGGCTCCCTGCTCTCTGAGTCCCCTGCCTGAAGCGTCCTGCCTCCAAGCCCAAGGGAACCATCCACTGTGTCCGGAGCAACAGGGACTCCGCTCCCGGTCCCCTGGTACAGCAGGTGTGTGCACGCACACACACGCACGCACACAACCTCCAGACTCTACACATGGAGACAGATCCTGCCAATTTAATCCAATAAACTCTCAAAGCTAAAAGAGACTTCCAAGTTCATCTCAGATAAAGAAAAAATGGTTCCGAGAACTTTGAGGACACCTGGGTCCCCGCCACAGGCGGGGGTGAGGCAGGTCTTTTTCAGGAGGAGGGGCTCTCCTGGTGCTTGGGTCCTACCTCGTGGGCGTTTATCCACAGCAGAGCCAAACTCTGAGGTTTGTGCTCAAAATTTGAGGAGTAGCCCAGAGTGCAAGATGCAACATTTCATCATATTACAGGATTGTTTTTTTGGGCCGGACTCAAGATGAACAGGAGTGGATATAGGCTGCGTTATATTTAGCAGAGAGGGAGGAACTTTTGTTTATTAAAAGAAATGAGAGCAGAGATGTTTGGTCGTTCTAAAGTTATTTAAAGTCCTTTCTTGTGCTTAAGATTCTCCGTATGATACTGGACACGTGACCACGCGCATCCAGACAAGAGAAGAGACCCGCGACGTGGAAGTCTGTGTGTTCCACACTTATCCGAGGGGAGCGCCGGCGCCGGGAGGCGGCAGGTGGTGCTCGCGCTCACGGGCTCCCGCGGAGAGGCCCAAGGGCGCAAGACGAATCCCGGGGTCGAAGGTCTGCAAAGCAGCCCCGAATCTTCAAGGTGTTCCCACCCGTACCTGATCCACAGGGAAGGGGCAGCCGGACCTCAAGGCAGGTGCTCCTGGTGGTGCCTTCTCCCCCAGGGGCACCTCCACACTTTAAGACCT